GGCAGATCCAGATAGTCGCACTCCAACATCTGGAGAGAGGTGAGAGAGAGAGAGAGAGAGAGAGAGAGAGAGAGACAGAGGTGAGAGAGAGAGAGAGAGAGAGAGTCAATGTAATTTTTAAAGTTATATATGTTTTTTTTTTTCAAAAAGTAGTGTTTTTATAAGAAAGTATTTTAATATAGTTTATTTAGTAATAAGTGTTTTCTAAGGGAATATTTTAAATATTTATCTAAAATCATATATTTTTCTATAATATCTTAAATTATGGCAGTGTGTTTACTCAATGTTTGATTTTTAGAAGTATTGTTTTTATAAAATACTACAAAATAGTGTTTTTAGAAATATATATATATATATACATTTATAATAATAAAATAAAATCATTAAATTATGGAAATCTGTTTATGTGTGACAGTTTACAAGAAAATATATATATATATTTTTTTTTATAAAATAACATAATATAGTAATATTATAATATAATAACAGTGTTTTATAGAAAATATTTTTAAATATACTATAAACTAATTATTTTTATCCTACTGTCATGGTTGCCTTCTGTGGCGAAACAAAGAACGAGGAGACGTGGGATAAACTCTAAGTAAATGTCTTTATTCATCCAAGACGGGGTAAAACAAGACAGGCAGAGACACACAGGAAACACATCATCGACGTTCAATACCGGACAAACTCAGATAACAGACAGGAACTTAAGTACATGGGGTAATTGACAAGACACACCTGAGAGCAATCAACAATCAAACACACACGTGGGAAAACCAAATGAACATAAGGAACTATAATGAGGACAGGAAGATAACCAAATAAGGGCATACAGAAACCGGAGGCAGGAACAGAGGGAAACCAAAACAAAAACAGACCATAAACGTGACACCTACATTACGGCAATGTGTTTACTCAGTATGTGATTATTTTTATAAGAAAATATTTTATTATTTTATAGTATTTACTATTTATATTGGGTTTAGTATGTTGTAATATTATAACATTTTGAAGGTATGTTAAATGATGGAAATGTCTTTACTCAGTCTGTGCGTGGTTCTGTGTGTTAGATTGTGGATCGAGGGCTGAAGGCGTCTCTGGTGATCGAGGACGACCTGCGCTTTGAGGTTTTCTTTAAGCGGCGCCTGCAGAATCTGATGCATGAGATCGAGTCTCAGCGGCTGGACTGGGACTTGATGTGAGTACAGCAGTCTGTGTGTGTACAGCGCCCTCTGCTGGACTCCTGACTCCAGCTGTTTGTCTCTGTCTCTCAGATATATCGGCCGCAAGCGCATGCAGGTGGACCGGCCGGAGAAATCTGTGCCCAGAATACACAACCTGGTGGAGGCGGATTACTCGTACTGGACGCTGGGATACACCATCTCGCTGCGCGGCGCTCAGAAGCTGCTGCGGGCCGAACCGCTCCGAAACATGCTGCCGGTGGACGAGTTTCTGCCCGTCATGTACAACAAACACCCCATGTGAGAGGAGCTATCTCTTCATACAGCCGTATCATTATTCCTAGTGTTCAGTTTGCCTGTTTCTAATTATTGTTCGTTCATGCTTTCAAATGTAATGTTTTATCCTTCTGATCAGATACAAAAATATTTGTATTATCTGCTATTGTGCAAATGGGTTTATTTTTGCTCCTAACAAAGAGTAGTGATCAAAAAAAGTATCATATGAACATCAAACAACACAGAATCTAATTAAACATCACAAAAATCACATAATAAACCTAAAGATCATGTAAAAAAAAAAAAAATATATATATATATATATATATTTTAGTGGAATAAAAAAAGTGTATATTAAAACAATTTTTATTTTAGTTTTTATAATTAATTCTTGATATGTTCATGATAATAGAAATAAAAAAATGATTATAAAAAAGATATATATTTTGTTAAAAATGATTGTTATTTTTATTAATTGTGATGATGATGATGATAGCAATAATAAATAATGATACAGTAACAATATTATAAATATGTATAACTATTTTAAATAATTAAATTTAGTTGACATTTTTATTGATGATGATGATCATAGTCATCACATTAAAGGATTAATAATAATAATATTTATTTATTTAAAAATTATTATTTTTTAATTATGGTGATGATAAAATACAAATAAATAATAATAATAATTATTATTATTATTATTATTAATATTCTTATTATTTTGTTGATTATTATTATTATTGTTAATATTAATAGTTTATTTTTTATTATTAAAAATAGCATCAGTATTTATATTTTTTGTTGATAATAAAAATAATAGTTTAAGGAAAAGACATTGTTTCATTGAACCAGCATAACTAAAGTCGTCTCCGTCTCTGTCTGTGCAGCGAGGACTACATGTCTCACTTCGAGCGGCGGGACCTGCGAGCGTTTTCGGCCGAGCCACTGCTGGTTTACCCCACGCACTACACGGGCGACGTGGGCTACATCAGCGACACGGAGACCTCCAGCGTCTGGGACAACGAGACGGTCCGCACCGACTGGGACCGAGCGCGATCACGCAAGAGCCGCGAGCAGGAGGAGCTGAGCAGCGAGGCGCAGAACTCAGACGTGCTGCAGTCTCCGCTGGACAGCACGGCCCGCGACGAGCTCTGAAGCACTCGGAGAAACTGCACAGACACGCCATCGAGGAGAAGTGCGGCGTTTCATCAGCCATCAGCCATCAGATTCACTTTACCATGTACTTCAGATGAGATGAACACCTCTGATGTTCCTGAAATGCTTGACTGGATGCAGGAACAGTAAATATGACGCTAGTTACAGTTCAGGTCAAAGGTTTACATCCCCTTGCAGAATCTGCAAAATGTTAATTATTTCACCAAAATAAGAGAGATCATACAAAATGCATGTTCTTATTTATTTAGTAACTTATTTACTGACCTGAATAAGATATTTCACATAAATGATGTTTACATATAGTCCACAAGAGAAAATATTAGTTGAATTTATAAAAATGACCCCATTCACTTGATTCTTAATACTGTGTCTTTTATGTGAAATATCTTATTCAGGTCAGTACTAAATAAATAAAAAATAACATGCATTTTGTATGATCCCTCTTATTTTGGTAAAATAATGAACATTTTGCAGATTCTGTAAACTTTTGACTTCAACTGTATATGCAATATCTTGATTTTATTTGTTTGAATGAGAATCTCAAGAATATTCGAGATGATTTGACATTATTGACATGTTCATGTTAACATCCTCTATAGAGATGGTTTGGTTTTTGATAGTTTTAACCTGATCTGATGGGTCTAGTTTAACGCTTGTCAGGAGTCCTGGCCGATCCTTTGTGCTTTAGTTAAATCGATGTGTTTTTTAACATTTCATTCCTTTATTATTTCACTTTTAACATTTTTGGACTTTCACTTTGTACGCAAAGCTGTTGTTATGCGTCCCAGATTAAGGTCAGAATCAGATCGGCATGTTTTTATCTGATAGTTTGCTTGCAGATGACTAATTTATTGCTTGTTGAGCTTGTTCGTAGTCTTCGATGTCAGTGTAAACACAGAGCCGACGGATCTGTTACCCGTGATGTGAACCGCACAGAAGTGTTCTACCTTTGGTTTTTATGTTCTCTGGGGTTTTTTTTCAGTTGCCTTAAGAGATTTGTATGGGAGAATAGAAGCCAATTAAAACAAATCCATTTTAAAGCTAGCAACAGAATGCTTGTGTGGCAAACTAATGCTTACATAATGCTTAATGTGCTAACTCGAGAAATAGATGTTATAATATTTAGTCAAATGAGATGAGGGAATATTTTTTTTATTTTTTATGTATCAATCCTTTTTGTTTCTTTCATCCTGAATGTGCCTTTTATACCAACGAATAAAGGATGTTTCTTCAAGTCTGATCCCGTAGATCCAGTCTGATTTTAGGAGCCGTCTGCTGTGATATATTGCTGCAGTGAATGGGTGCCGTCAGAATGAGAGTCCAAACAACTGATAAAAACATCACAGTAATCCACAAGTAATCCACATCACTCCAGTCCAGCAGTTAACATCTGGAGAAGACAAAAGCAGTTTGTTTGTAAGAAACAAAGACATTATTTAGACTTCCACCTAGAATATGAGTCCATAATAACACTTATCCACCCACTAATAATAATCCACCCACATATTTGTTTTGGATAGTTTTGGGGTGTAAACGGTGCTTGATCTGTGCAGGTTTCTTTCCTGATTCATGAGACGACTTTTTCACTGTAGAAAGTTGATGGATAGATGGCGCGCATTTTTGCAAGAAGCAACGGTTTGACGTTAAAATACCTTAATGATGGATTTGTTTCTTCCAAACACGCAACTTGCGTGAGAAATGAGACAGTCCTGCTTGCTCTCTCTCTCTCTCTCTCTCTCCCTCTCGCCCCCCCCTCTCGCTCTCTCTCTCTATTGGATTAAGGCTTGGTGTAGGCCTATTTTCAGCCAAGAAGGTTTATGGGTCTCACTTCCACACACCCTCCCTCTTTCTCTCTCAATAGGATTATGACGGTGGGTTCATGTAGATTAGTGTCCTCAAATCTCTGAGTGGAGAGTAAATAAACACTGACAGAACGATGTGAGACTGTCTGGTGTTGGTTTAACCCTGTAATCTCCGTGAACGGTGCGGACCCCAACCGCGTTGATCCGAACTCATGATCGGTTGGGTTCCAATCAACAGCGATTCTGAGGACAGCGAGACTGCGTCACTGATAAACCAGCAAAGGACCAGTTTAAACCAGCAAAGGACCAGCTTAAACCAGCATCCCAGCGTCAAAACATACCTAACCAGCATGTGCTGTTTTTTTCAACAGGGCCAGCTAACAAAAATATGTTCTAAAATGTTTGCAAACGTTCTAATCAAGTGAAAACATTACTTCTGAATGTCCAAAACGTCATTACATACGTTACTGAATGATCTCTGAATATTCTAAACCGTTTTAAAAGGTGTTTCTTTTCTTTTCTTTCTTGAATATGTGAACGTTAAGGGAACATTCCATTTATCATTTTGCAAATGTTACGGGAATGTTACTTTTAAATGTTCATCTGAGCATTCTGAAACAAATGGTAGCATTTAAAAATGTTAGGTGAACATCCAACTAAAATATTTTAGAAAAACATTACATGAATGATGTTTTGTGCTTGCGTTTAACGCTATTAAAGATCAGGCAACTTTTGAATAAATCGATTAACTTTACTGGAAGAACGTTTGTTTAAAACTTGAGAACATTGCCAGAATGTTAGGGATGTTCTATGTTCCCTGTCAGCTGTATACAATATTCTATAACTTTTACAAGTTTTGTTCAATATTCTTTTACATTTGCAGTCAAATAAACTGTTGGCCTAGTTCTGCATAAAAATGATCATAAAATTGATCTGATCTTTTCAAGTCTATTGTTATCAGTCTTCTGTGTTTTGAGATCTCTTGTAATAGAGGTTTAGTTCAATCCATGTCGAACACAATCTGTGAGTGTTTATATAGGGCAGGACTTCTCTGACCAGCATCTTCAATCTCATAGTTTGGATCCAAGATGATCTTTCTCCAGTTAGTTTGTGGAGAAACTATCAGCCTACGCAATTACATAGCTACTTGTTTTTTCCCCATTTTATTAAAAGTTTGTCTTTCCCTGCAACTTTATTCTTAGTACTTTTAAATCATAAGACTTTGCCCTGGCTTATAACACTCCTTATGTTATCCTGGTTTTCCTGCTGTATTCTGTTGATCATGTTTGTGTGTTTACTTTTTTATTCTTTTATCTTATTCATTGGGTTTTTATTCTTTGTAAAGCACATTGGTCAACCTCGATTGTGTTTAAATGTGCTCTATGCATAAACAGTGTTGTTGTTGTTTAAGAATATTATCAAGCACTGATCAGTACATATTCTCTCTCCAGAAGCTGTCATGGTGGACCTGTTCCTGGGGAAGGTTCTGGTGAAGAACAATAAAGACAGAGACGAGCTGGACACGGAGCGCGAGATCGTCCTGCGACTCCAGAACCGTATCCTCATGCTGTTCTTCGGCTCCGGCGAGTGCGAGAAGTGCCAGGAGTTTGCGCCGACGCTCAAAGACTTCTACAAGAAGCTCACGGACGAGTTTTACGTGGAGCGATCGGCTCAGCTGGTCCTGCTGTACATCTCGCTGGACTCCTCCGAGGAGCAGCAGGAGAAGTTCCTGAAGGAGCTGCCCAAACGCTGCCTGTTCCTGGCCTACGAGGACGCATACAGACAGTATGTACAATTTTTGTTCAGAAAAGCATACTAAAAATTAGAGTACGACCATTTCTAGCACAGTGGCTCAGCACACTTTGACGGGGTCTGCAAGATGACTTAAAAGTCCTTAAAATAAGACAAAAGCTGCTTTAAAATAAAATTTAACTAGGATCATGTACATATTATGTACTGTACTTACCGTATTAATTCAAATAACTGAATAATAATTACGAACCACGATCCAGTGATATTTTAGTACAATTTACATACTATTATAGTTTTGTTGGTATAGATTTTATTTTTATACTTTCAGTTTTCATTTTAACCTTAGTTACATTTTTAGTAATTACGTGCTTTTGTAAATTTTCTTCATTTTTCTTGTTTAATATTAATATTTAGCTTTGTTTTCATTTTTTTTTCACTCTTTGTTTTGATTTATTTTATTTCCAGAAATGGTTTAGTGCTAAACAAAATGATTTAAAAAGTTGTTATCATTTATATTTTGTTTCAGCTTTAATTCGAACATTAACTAACACATACTTATTAAGAAAATGTTGTAATCGTTTTAGTTTTTAGTTAATGATCTTTTTAAAAATGTTTTAACAATGTTTAACATTCTGTGTGTAACCATCAGATGCAGTATATTGAGTGAAGGAGCGTCGTAGTTTGTGACGTGTTTGTGTCGTTGGCAGGGAGCTGAGCGTGATGTTCGAGGTGCAGGATCTGCCCAGGGTGGTGGTTTTGCGCCCGGACTGCTCTGTTCTCACAGCCGACGCCGTGGAAGAAATCTGTAAACTGGGGCCAGACTGCTACCGCAACTGGCAGGAAGGGGCGGAGCTTATCGACAGGAACTTCATGATGAACGAGGAGTTCGAAGAGGGTAAAATGCGCAGCATGACCGACCCCATCCGACGCGTTAAATACAAAGTGGAGGACAAGAAGAAGAAGAAGAAGAAGAAGGACGGGGTGAGTGTGGAAGAGGAGGACGAGGACGGAGATGAAGATGGAAATTATGGAGGAGGAGGTTGGGGCTGAGGTTAGGACATCTGATGCTCTAATAACTATTAGCGAAATGGACAGAAGCCACGAGTAAGTGTTGAGTAAACATCGCTGATCAGATGAAATAACAGTGCTGAAAAAGAAAGATGGATGATCTACAGCAGTAGTTCTCAAACTTTTCGACTCCAAGACCCATCATTGTCCACAACAATATTTGAAGGCTAATAGGTTTTCTCTGAAAAGACAAATGTTTTTATTTTGCAGAAACTGTGTAAACTGATTAAAATAAGAATCTAAATTATTATAAATCGGGTAACTGAATTTCAGCATTCCAAATTGTATAAGAGCTGAATGTTCTTCAGTTTTCCCGCTCTTTTTGACAAGTGAATTTCTAGATGTTCATGATTTACTGGACAAGTATTAAAGGGGTCATCGGATGCCCATTTTCCACAAGTTGGTATGATTCTTTAGGGTCTTCATGAAAAGTCTATAACATACTTTGGTTAAAATTTCTCAGTATTAGTGTAAAACACCCTTTTTACCCTGTCAAAAACAGCTCTTTTCAGAGCAAGCCATTTCTTTGCATGTCCCTTTAAATGCTAATGAGCTCTGCTGCCCCTGCCCCTCTCTTCCGTGGGGTGACGAGC